TGATATCCTTTTCTTGTAGGATGTTTAGGCTCATACTTCTCGAATGATTGAAAGGATATTTAGGCTTTCAATAATCTCTCTGATTATCGCATAATATGGTCCTATAAAGGTCGGTCTATTGAAGTTGGACGTCATGTGATGGTGTCAGAATGGATTCCACAGAATGACCTGCTCCAGCATGAAAAAACCGTGCTTTTTATCAGCCACGGAGGACTCAAAAGGTGAAAGTTGAACCATTTGTGGCGCAATTCGGCTTGGTGAAGGAGCTGGATGGTACCCATTGTCAGCTAAACTTCCAGAGCCACATCGTGATGACACGCAAATTTCTGGGACCAGACTCACTTAACAATTTCGCAGCTGCGAGGGGGCTTACAGGTCTGATCACATCGAGCTCTCCTAGTTAACATGAGCTACCAAGAACTGAAGAATGTGTAGGTGCTCTTTTAAGGGCAGTTGGATGAATTCCTACTTAGTCTTAAATGCTAGTAGGGCGCTGTATAGTGGGGGAAATGGCGAAAGAACGGAGTGAAACGGTCAAAATCCTGCGAAGAAAGAGCCTCCGTTCTCAATGTGTAAAAATCAATTTTGGACGAGTTTCCCGTAGGCATCTTGCCAATAACCGCTACCGAAGATACGGCTGTGTACCCATGTATGCATGCAGCATCACGGCCGCTTCATACCAATCCCTTCGCTTCATAATTTGCTTAGCAAATGAATGAATACGAGCGTCAGGAACGGTCGTCCATTTGTGGGCGGGCGGGCGTGGCGGGCGTTTGGGACGTAAAGTTGTGGCTTGATAGGGCCCTTATAAGGGCACCTTCCTCGGGGAAACCGCTATGCAGCGCCTGCCCAGGGTCGCGGAATTCTATCCTGCCAGGAGTATTGATCCTAGTCGTCTTGGGGGATTTATCGTGCATCCTATATTCACGGATTGTGGCTTTTTTTGTCCAAGTCCCGTATGTACACTTACCTGCGCCAGCCGGTGGTATCGACGCTCATTTTTTTTCTCATAGAGGCGAGCTTAAGGTTGGGGTTGCCTGGTATTGCGTAAAGAAAACCTGACAGTTTCGCTAGTTCCCCCCACTTTACGCAAAACTTGCATTCACTAGCTTCATCCCGACAACTTAGTTTAAAAGGTTCCAACGTAGTCCGAAGAATCCTGGAACGCTGCCCCATCGGCATGTGGAGAACCTCAATTTCTGAGCAAATTTCAGCGTCAAGGAAGCGGCCTGTAGTGGAACTCCTGCACTTTTCATGCCGATGTTTGCTGAGCAAAAGAGAAATGCATGGCTTGCAAAAAATCAGGTAACACTTTTCCAAGATAGCCTTTCTTTGATCTGCCAACCAATTATGTTAACTCTAGGGCTACGCTGAAATCCTCAATAAATTTCTGGTGACACGCGAATATTTGGAGGAGAAAATCCGTGGAATTTTGAACAATTCTGATTACAAGGAAAAAGGAAAAGCCCTAAAAGAGGTCAGGAACGGTGGGAACGATGCGTGAATACTTTTATCAGTGATTTTTTTTTTCAGAGATTCCAAGATCAACCGTTACATTCGCTAGACCATGCAGCATTCCTCGTGGACAGATTGCTAAAATATGGTGGCCGGATGCCTTCGTTTTTCTACACACGATCTCTGGACCTTAGTTACTTTACTACATTGAATCTCGACGTCGTATTAGTTATGCCAATAATCCTGCTAGCTATAATAATGTAAATTGCCTCATATAAGATCCCCATAGCTCTTTCTTAAGGAAGGTACTTACTGCCTAACGGGTTTCTTGTCGGCCCACCGAGACGGGAGAGCATATCTCGATGGAGTGAGCCTCACTATAGGTACTTAAGTGATTTTCATTACGAGTTGTATAGGCATTATCTAGCCTTACTTTCAGAATTTAGGCTTGATTTTTCAATTTTTCCCGAAATTTCTCACCAAAGTTGCTCCCCCTGCCTCCTCCAGGTATGAACATTATATTATTATGGATCGGAGATGGGAGTGGTGATATAGTTTGAGATGACCTTATAATTACTTTTTCGCAGCTCCGCCTACTTGCCAGTGGGATACCCCCGCTTACTGCTTACGCTGACTGGTGACCTCTCACTGCCAGGCTCACTCAAGACAGAATAACGAAAAATAAGCGAATAGATGTATAAAATAGAATTTTTTAGAAATAGAAATAAACAAAAAATCAAACAATAAAAAGAAACCCGCGCCAGCGCATCGGCGCTTCTGGCACTTTGCCATCTTCGGTGATCCGCGCTTTCCATAGCGATTAAGCGCAAACCTCGCACCGTTGGACATAAATTGAAGACGCTTAGGCTGTTTTAGGGTTCCATATGGTTCTTTGCAAGCGCGATTCCAATTAGGAGGATGTGAACAAAAGAGCAGCAAGCCTTTTCTTGAGTTTCATACTCTGCAAGCGATGGGAAGGACGTGAACTGAAGAGCAGGTAGTTCGTCTTCCATACTCGTCGCAAGAGGAGGATGTAAAAATGAAGAGCAGTTAGTGTGTTTTTTTCAGATGCACCTAATGATCTTTCAGATGGGGCACTATTTAATTGTTACTTCCCCATCATCCGATATCAGACAAAATTTCGTTCCCAGACCTTCAACCTCCGATTACGAATATCACGTCGCTTGGCCAGGAATAGCCTGGCACTAACGCCACGGTCCCACGGCTCAAGCTTTGCGCTCCAATCGCTATGGAGAGCGCGTCCTTCGCGCCCGACGTACTCGTCCGTAAGTCGTGTTCAAGGTGTTCCCAAGGTTTTTTCCGCTTCTTTTTCTTCTGAGAAGCTACCTATGGGATACTGGTTCATGACAGAGCCCAACTACCCGCAACACTTGATCGCGAAAACTGTCTTTAATGCGTTGAAAAAACGTCGTGCAATATTGGATTAAAAGCATGCAAACTCACCTACGAGCGAACTACTCCACAAGAAAATTCGACATCCGAAATTCGACACGACAAATTCACAAAAATTTCGAGAAAGTACAGCGATATGTCACTAACAAGTCCGCGTAGTTCCCTTTTCTCGGGACTCTGGAATGCTTGTGTTTTCATGTTTTAATTCGCTTTATTGCCACCTTTGCTTATGTAATGATATTTTAATAACCAAGTTTAAAGTTATTTATTCCATATCTCGTTATTCTGTCTTGAGTGAGCCTGGCAGTGAGAGGTCACCAGTCAGCGTAAGCAATTAAGCGGGGGTATCCCACTGGCAAGTATGCCGAGGTGCGAAAAAGTAGTTATAAGGTCATCTCAAACTATTTATATGCGCACACCCAGTGTGGGTTGAGGAACCAGAAATCCTAGTTGTGGTTGTACACAGCAGATAGCTCGGGCTCGGCGCACGCTACATTTGCTGAGTTGTTGAGCCAGCTTACTGCAGCGATTCGCGCCAAAGTCGCAAGGGCGGGGGTGCGAAGTTACACACGTGCGCTGATGTTCGACGGGAATGTCAATTTAGTTAGGCTGACCTCATTTAGCACCTCATTTAGCACCTTCCCATCCTCGCCTGTGGGGAGACGTGTGAGATCGCCTGTGGGATGACCTCACTTAATTGGCTGCACTGGCTGGTGACCTCTCATCATCATTTCCAGCTCATTCAATATAAAACGATGAATGGAATGTAAAATAAAAGAGTTTGGAGAATTAAAATTACACTCACAACTTCTGAAACACGAGCTCGAATGGGAAAGCGGTCTTTAAGGTGTAAAGAAGTCAGATTCTACATACTACTGGATTACAGAAGTACTCCCGAACTCTGCTACAGGCAAATTAGTTTAGAGCGGATGACCTTTCGCACATTATTAGACACCTTGCCTTTGATTCTTTGCATCACACCTACTTTGGAGGTCAATCGCAACTAGTATTTAAGCAAAAGAACTGCATTAAACAGGACCTGTCCGTGTTTGTTTCTCAGCATGATTTCAGGTTACGGCGACTTTCTCTATACGGATTTTCTCGACCATAGCTTCCCAGGAGGTAGTCCGTCTATGTACAGCACTTATGTCAACACTCCCCAACCCCTTACCCCCCACACCAACGCTCCACAACTGCATGATTCGTCAATGTACATGGCCTCGCCGATCGACACCTCGTCTACACAAGGACTTCAACAGTCGTTCTACATACCTTCTTTTACAGACATTTACTACAGCGCAATGCAAGCGGTCACACCTTCACTATATACGTCTTCAGTTCTACCACAGATTCCTGCTGCGACCGAAGCTACACCCACAGTAGCAACCTCTGTTACGCCCTTCCCTTCTTTGCAGGCACACACCACATTTGCGAGCTATTCCATCCGGCAATGCCGGATTCGTTTCATTCAGGTACCTTGTTTCATAATTGTCAATGTTAAACTTGTGCAATGTTAAGATAAGTAGTGAGTTAATAAATTGACGCTAATAAACTTTATCCAGTCTCTGGTTGTTCTTTGAGGTGAGCGTCATAACAAGGGATCACTCAATTATGCCAGGGCTCCCCATTGGCAAGGGAGGCTAGGTGCGAGATGTGCCAGCCTAATTACCGGCCTAACTAAAGTTACACACCCTCGCGACGATGATGCAACTCAGCGCCTCTCGGCTAAACGCAAGCGCTATGGAGATCCGCGGTATTTCTTAGAAATATCAACGCAATAGCTGTGCAGGGTACGGTCATGATTCCTACCAAACGAGAGAGAGAGACAGAGACAAGAGAGGGTTTTAAGTGGAGTCAAGCCAGGGCAACCTTCCCCACCAATTGTGTGGGCTCAGGAGGGTGTCATTAGTGGAAAAGGCCGCTCTGGTCCACACCCCTTACCACGACCTCTCGTTCGCAGGGATCATGAGTATACATGGTGATGTCTTCCAAGCAGAGCGGTTCTTCTACTCGTGCTTGAAGGAACTTTTAGTAAATTTGGAAACCATAAGTTCTTTCGCAACGATGAGAAACGAACCATGATGTTCATCTTCGAAGAACCGAACTACTCCTTTTCAAATTCCAAATTCCAAGCCCATGGGGACAAATTACAAGCCAAATTGACATTTAGGTCCATTTTCCGAGAAGTGGACCCCCATCCTCAGCGCGATGCGCAACCTCTAATGTTGACATCTACTCGCAGTCGGGATGGGGTTATCTGAGCTGGAAACGACTTTAATGCGGTCTCTTGATGATCGTTTCACCCGATCCCACTCTCCCTTGGAAGTAGTTCACCCGAGACATCGAGTATGGCTGCCGTACCGGGGAAAAACGTGGAGCAAGGCGAAAATCCCACTTTATTTCCATCTGGTGGTTTTCTTTACTTATACATGAAGCACAATTCGTTCTGGCGCCCACGTTGTCAAGGCAGTAGCAAGTCAAGAATCCGATGATGGATTATCCGAGACAAATTCTCTACCTTAGCCCACCCTGTACCAAGGGGAAGTTTAGAAGTGGTAGACTTCGCCATCAAAAATTGTTTTGCCCACTTCGAGGGAAGTGCAGAAGTTTGAAGCCGTTCTCCGATGCCCTGTTAAGTCCATGTCGCAGAGAATGGAGACCACTGACTATCAGTCAACCACTACTTTCCGTTGATTACACTTCAGTTGCTTACTGCTCTGTCTTAGCTTAGAGTTATGAATAAATATAGATTTGCTGGAAAGGCGATTTTGCAGTTTATGCCACGTTCTTCTCCTATGCTGGAGGAGCGGATTAGGCGAGCGGCCCAACGGATTTGGTCTTTAGCGGATTGTCTGGCTGCCAAAGCAGGGCACGCCGTTCAATGGGAAGTTCCTCACGGAGCTCCTATTTCGTTAGGGATCGTACTTGCTAAGGAGCTTAACTAATAATGTCTAATTTATTCTGAGGATTTTCCTCGTTTCGCCTGTGCTATATATCCCCCTTGTTAGCAGCGCGTCAGAACTTCAATTTCAGCTAGTTGACCCCAGATGTCGGCTCCCTCCTAGGCTCATTTGTTTTTATATGCCTGGAAAGTTGTAGAAGGGGGTCGTACCTAGAGAGAAAATTGGGGAGCGGGTCGAATTTTGCACATATTTATCTCCACAGGCGTGCCTAGTTATCGAAGACCCATGAGTACCATTTTAAAAAAGCACATTAGGAATGAGTATCTCCAAACCGGGACTGTTTATACTAACACAGCCCATGTTCTCCATCTCGATAGACATTCAGAAGACCTTGCTATCGCGCTAACAATCACTGGGTGCCACACGGCCGCCATGCCCCTCTCACATGCTTTTGTCAGTCCCCTCAGAGCCGGTCAACCGGCAGAGCAAACTTGACGTGCTGATGAATCGCTTCCTTCATCACCGATGAAGCGGTGTCTGTTTCAGCGGGGAATAACAATCTGCAATTTCGGGTCAGTGCTAGAGTAGCCCGTGGATTTCAGTGGGAAAGGGAGCTCTGGAGTAGATGGTTATGAATTGGAAATAAATAGAATCACAACGCCGATCGTCCATCCCGCAGCTTCTTACCCTCCCTTAAAAGGTTGCAGGCTACTCCAGCGGAATCGTAGACTGGCACCCCTCCCCGCGGACACATAATACCCGGTTTCATGTGGAAGTTCGGATTGTGAAGTGTTTTTAGCTATGTCGGCAATTTATTTCCGCTTTTTATTTTCATGATGTGCCAATCATTGCGAAAATACGAACCAAAGATAAACATTCAGTAATTGAGTAATCACAATGATCAGTAAGTACCTAATTAGCGTCAGCTACATCAGAGATCGTTACGGA